GCCGGGCCCATTTGAATCAAGTACTGTGAGAGAATATTGGACCAAATGGCTTAATTGTTTTTGCTCTAGGCTCTCTGGAGTGATCAGTCAGTCAAAATAGTCGTTGTTTTAGAAATTTTCAAAAGGATTTAGCGTGCGACTTCAAGGAATAAAATCAAAATTGGCGGCCAAAGAGCTAGCTACGCTTATAGCATTGATAAGAATTTTACAACAAATATTTATTCATGAGTTAGCCAGGCCGCTTTTTTTGTTCATCATGAGTCATGATGTATCCCAGTAAGTTTTTGGTGGAAAAGATTTTTTATAAGGCAGTTTTTGGGAAAGCGTTTTTTCGACCGCCATTTTTCCTTGTCGATTCCTACTATTAAGTACTACTGTACCTAATGATAAAGGGAAAAAAATGTGTTTGTATGGTAAAATTATTAGTTGCTACCATATACTATTTTTTGTTCTTCCCACATGTGACAAAATGACTGTATCAGAAAGTAATATGTTTGTAAAGGCATGGAAAATAAAATTAAGAATTTCAAGGACATCTATAGCTCTGCAAGTACTTCAAGTTTTCTTTTTAATATTTGTTTGAAAATCATTTAATATTGTCAAAAATATATTTATTTATGTTATATATATGTTATTAAATATAGCTGTGTTGCAACGTATTTGATATATCATAAACAGAAAAAGTAGCTGAGGAATGTCGAATAGATAATGGAAATTGTGATCACACTTGTAAGACTTCTCCAAAAGGTTTGGAGTGTGAGTGTCGTAAAGGCTGGAGGTTAGACACTGACCAACGCAGTTGCGTAGGTAAGTTTAAAATCTATATGTGTTTAAACATTTTTGAGCTGTTTTCTGGAAGGTTCATTGAATTTATCAATACATTATACTATTGTCGTATCATATTTGATTTTACTTGTTTTATTCTTATAACTTAAGGAATAATTTATTAGCTCTTTGATCACTTTTTACATAATAAGTAACGTTTAAATTAGAAATTAAATAAATTGATTTCTTCAAATAAAACATGTTCATTTGAGAAAATAAAGTTAACCTTATTTTAAGTATAATTTCTAGAAAGTGTATTAAATAACAGGTTTTCAAAATATCCTTGTTAAATTTTGGTATTTAATGGTAGTATATTTTTTTGGACTTTCAGGCATGTAAGACAATTTCAGTTGTATTGGGACCTTTTAATTCTTAAGTTTCTTCATTTGAGCTAGAATAAAAAAAAATGTTGAAATATGGGATATAAAATATCTCTATAGCAACTCGAATTATTTCAAGCTTTTCATATGACATTATGGTGAATAACATTACAAGCCCCCCAGTGGCACAGCGGTATATCTGCAGATTTATACTGTTAGAAACTGCGTTTCGATACCTGTGGTGGACAGAGCAGAGCTAGTTCTTTGTGTTGCTTCGTGCTTAACAACAACAGTACAAAATATTTAATTGACTCTATGACGTTAAAGATTAAATGAGGAATAAAGTAATTTTTGCCTTTGATTTAATTAACACTTCGTATTGAATAGTCACTTTTGCTACTAATATTGGTATTAAAAGGGGGGTATATCAATGTTATATACTGAAATAAAAGCAACTTATAAACAAAAATCAGTGAGAAAGGTTAATATTTGTGTCAAACATAGATCATATTGCCTATCTATGAACTTGTATGTAATAAAGATCTTTACAATTTATGAATAGTAACATCTAAATAGTAATTATCTTTCGTACTCTAAGAATAAAAGTAAAACTCTTGTTTACCATTATAAGATTAATAGATTGATTAATATTTTAGTTTTATCACGAAAGGTTTTTTTTTACATAATTATCCCTACTTTGGCTCAGACTAACACAATTACAGTGATTCGCTAAAATAGGGATACATTTTTTTATATATATAAGTAACTCAGTTTTATAGTTTTGACTTTCTTTTTTCAATACTTTTTGTAGCATTAAAACTTTCTATATTACTATAACTAGCTATGTTACGTATATATCGATCCATACTTGTCTTTATAACATTTAATATTTTTATTATACTTGTTAAATAATAATTTCAGTAAGTATCCTAATTGCTTGTCTTTTAGACCATTATTAACTGCTTTAAGTTTTAAATTGTAAGTAAAGAGACTATAGCTTGTAGTTGCCACAAACCATTTCTGCCAATGCCAATCACAAATTCATTAACTGGGCGAAATGGTGATTGTGAAGACTATAGGAAAATAGTTTTGAAAGAATACAGGCAAAAAAAAACATTGATAAAGTGAAAAGTTTAAGGGTTGTAAAAGTATCACAACCGGGTTTTTGTTTGAAGTTAAGCACAAAGCTACACAATGAGCTATCTGTGCTCTGCCTACCACGGGTATCAAAACCCGCATTCTAGCGTAGTAAGTCACACACATACCGCGGTGCCACTGGGGGGCCTCACAACCGGAGCTAGCGTAACCAGTAATATAAAAGGTTAGGATTGAAATTCAATAACAAATTTTATGGCTACATCTTTAAATGGTGCATTCTGTCATATATCACAACCCAAGTAATGCAAGAATATCTGGAAATCTAAATAGTTAAACCAAAACTGCTTTAAATAATGCCAATACTTATATTCTACAGCACGTTATACAAAATAATTTACTGCTATGTTGCCTGGTTGAATACTTGCGGACATTGTGTTAATACTGTAGTTGGATGAATCCGGAAAGACTTAAATAATTTAGAAGAATGTAAACAAAAACTGAAGACAAGACGACAGCTCTAATTAAAGCAGTTAAAATTCCGTAAAAATTTACCCTTGAGGGCTGTGCAAAATGTACCAGAAAAATCAAAATCAACTTCCAACTCATGATCGTTGAAACTTCTCACTATAATTAGGTTCATGGACCATTCTAAGAGCTGATTCTAGGGACCTTTCTTACTTAGCATCCTTAAACCAAATGTAACAAGAAGTAAACAAAGTAATATATATATTTGATACGTTATTAATTGATATAACTTTGGTGTTGTTTTTCAGATATTAATGAATGTCAAGAAAATGCTAATTGTGGCGCAGCAAAATGTTTTGAAATGCCAGGAAGTTATAGCTGTCGGTGCCCAGAACATGAATATATGATAGCAAAAGAACACACCGAAACGGGTGGAAATATACAGTTCTCCATTAGATGTATGGGTAGGCATTATCACCTAAAGTAATGTATTGGCTAAGTAAAAGATATCTTAGCCCTTTATTAACATAAATTCTCCTTGAATGAGTAAAATGTGAGTAAATTATTTTAATAGCGAGAAAGTAAACTTCTCTGGTGGCCTAGCTACCATTGAATGAGAGTTTAAATCTCAGCTTCTTATTTGTTTTACAATTTTTGTTTTGTTATCTTAACAGAGAGGTGTTTACCTCTTTGATAATTTTGTTTATTTGTTTGTTGTTAAATACAAAGGTATACGATCGGCTGTTTGTGCTCTGCCCAGCACGGGTACCAAACCCCGAGTTTTGGTGTCATAAGCCATCAGACTTACCGCTGAGTCACCAGAGCACCTTTGGCGGGTAAAAATTTATGTTGATTCATTAAGATAATTTAATATCGATCAAAAGACACGAGTTGTATTGAAAGTCTGAGTTGCGGTGAATAAAACATAACTATAGGCACGGAAGTATTTTTATAACCAAGTCAAATTCAATTTCATTTTGACTTTTCATACAAAAGCGTGTTATATAGTGAGTGTAATACAGCCTTGGCCAAAATTTTTGCATATTTTGTAACATATAAAATCACTATTAATAAGATGGAATACAAATAGCTCTGTCAAACTAAAAAATTGTGTTATATTGAGCATCTACATATGTAACTTGTATAATGAGGCAGGTTCTATGGATATCATGAACGATATTAGAACAGCAAACAATTTTCTCAGACATCTGTAGAAAGATGTGTAATTCAGCACTTCACATCACTACAGAATCTTTCCAAAACATATATAATGACAAATCAAATTATTAAGATAGCGTCTGTAACCTTATATCAGTTCATATTAAACATTCAGTACTTGGTTGGTTCTCCTCGTACTCTAATAACCTCTGCAAGGTGACGTGGCATGCTGTTGATGAGGTTATTAATGTAATCTACTGTGATTTCATCCCAACTTGTCACTAGAAGGCGTTACAATTCAGCTACAGTACCTAGTTTAGGGTCGTGGTTAGCAATTTTCCGGCTCAGTTCAATATGATTACAATCTGGGGATTTTGCTGAGCATAGTAATCTTGTAACGTCCTCCTGGTCGAGATAATTCTGTACAGTAGGCTCACTGTGGGTAGTAGTATTGTCATCCTGAAACACAAAGTTATTACCCAATCTTCCTATAGCATATAACAGAAATATCGTCTCCATGTGATGCCTGTATGAGGCACCATCGACGTTTCCCTGTAGAATATGAAGAGCAGTTTTTTTTCCACCGTGATGAATAGCTGCCCAAACATGTACTGAACCAGCTGCTGTGTGTCCCTGTTGGAAAGACAGTCTTCCCTCATCTATTCTCCAAACAAATGACTAACATGAATCTTACCATCAACTTTAACAAACCGGAAACAGGACTCATACGAAAAGATGACATGCCCCAGTGTCCTAACTGTAAGTTGGCATGCTGTCTTGTCCAAGTAACACGGTGACGGCGGTGAATTCTGGTTAATATCGGTTTGCAGATAGCCGTTCTTGCAAAATAACCTGTTTGTCAGTCTTATATTCACTGTTCTTCTGGATACACTTGAATGAATGTGTTATGTCATTCCTGTTGTAAGATGTTGCAAGACTTCTTTCGACCTTGACGTATTAACCTGACCAAAACACGGTCATGTCAGGTAGTAGTTTTTCGGCGCATACCCTTAGACTTTCCTGGAATAACGCTTCCTGTAGTCCGATGACGTTTCAGCATTCTGGATACAATACAGTGGAGGTACCATACTTTTCTGACAATGTCCGCTTGCTTCATACCATTTCTGGACAGTTGAACAATTTGACGCCCTATAACTTCTGGACGTGACGAGACATGACTCTACACCAAGTACAGAGAAATTATCTGAACAAAGAGTTGATCTGTTTCAAAAATGATTATACCAAAAGGGCAGTCTTTTATACAAAACAGGTGTGTATGTGTGTTTTGACAAATAAATGCTCAAAACAACTTATACAGATCAAAATAACAACTCGACTAACAAATGACATCCATTAAACAGTCATCCGATGACAAATGGCTTATTTTGTTCAATGGCTAAGAATGGTGAAAAATAGTAGTATTATTCTCTCCCCCTGTGACTCAGCGGTAAGTAAGTTGGCTTAAAACGCTTGATACCGGGTTTCGATACTCGTGGTGAACAGATAACAGGTAGCTATTTGTGTAGCTTTGTAATTTACAACAAACAAACAAATTCTCTTTTTTAAATGAAAAATGAAGTTATATGCAAACAGAACCCGAACAGAGGAATATAATGTAGATTTGTTTGTTTGTTTGAAGTTATGCACAAAGCTACACAACGGGCTAACTGTTCTCTGCCCACCACGGGTATCGAAACCCGATTTCTAGCATTGTAAGTACGCAGACATACCGCTATGCCACTGGGGGGCTATATTGTAGGAAATGTGTTCTCTGTGTGCTAAGCTTTCAGTACTAAGAATTACCGAAGAGCAAGAAAATAGAATATATGAAAAGATATTTATAAAAATATATACCAATAGGATCGCAAATGAATTGGTAATCAAGCTTTAATTATTCTCTTTAGTTCGAAATTACTTAATATGATATTTTGATTAATTCATCATACTTCTTAAATAAGATAATCGTGTGATAAATGAAGGAATATCTTACGCAAATATTGTGTCCAAATAAGACTGCTTCCAGTAAGCAGACAACATTAAGACACACACATTGTGATTCAGGGTTTTGTTTTCGCTGCAAGATTTTTGACACTGCCAACTTCCCACACCACCAAACGGAGCAAATGTCTAGAAAAAGCACTTTTAAGCCAACAAAACAAATCAGCAGACCATCAATAGTATATCAATAGAAAAGATAATTAAAAACTTGAGTGAAAATCGATTCACAAAATACGTGTCTGATTAAACAAGAAACAGAGCATTGGAATTTGTATTTGAAAGACTGCGTGGATTATAATTCATGGAACTCAAAATATTGATCTGTTTGGAAGTCGTGAAAAGCTTTTCACTCTCGGAAATGGAAATTTGATGAAATTTGGCCATATTTAGCTTTTTCATGAAAAATTATATCACAAATTTACCACATAAAAAACCCATAGGTTCTGTTGTAACAGTTTCTGTTATTAGGATATTTTTATATTATTATTTAGTAAACAGGATAATTAAAAGTACAATCTACATAATAATAACAAAAGTATTTTATTTCTTCAACTACAACTACAAATTCTAGAAGTTAGCTTAACTAATTAATGTCCACTGATAAGTCTAAGCTTACGATAAATCCTAATACAATAATTTCACTTACTTTTCAGTTCTCTCATATATATATATTTTCTCGTTGAACTCAATAACCACGGTTCCGAACTAACTGATTAACAAAATCAACTGATATTTCACAGATTAGCATTGTCATTTCCAAACACAGAATTCTATTGTCTTTGCCCATCATCACAGCTAGTGGAGAAAGAAGTTTTTCTAAACTAAAATTGATTAAAGTCTGTCTGAAACAAATAAAAATAATCGAGTATGAAATTACACAAAAACTGGACTTGAAGCAGTGTGAGATTTCGCCTCAATGAAAGCAAAAAAACTGAAACTTCCGTGAATTTAAAATTTTTGAACTGATACGGTAGTGACATTTTAACAGTTACTGGGACATTTATTTGGGCTTTAATTTTATTTCTAGCCCTACAGATTTTTGCACAATTTTAAGTACGCACTTGCTATTAAGGCTATCTGTCACCATTCACAATTTTGAACTACTTATCAGAGAGAAGACAGCAGCACTCAATCACCCACAATCCATGTTAAGGGATTGACTGTCACTCGTATAACGCACCCATACCTTAAAGTGCGGATAATATATTGGTGGTATCAAACGAATGCTAACACAGATTGCCAACTCCGAAAACAATTTAAAGTAAAATAACAAAAAGAATGAGGAGGATGGTACATTGTAAATTTGCCTAGAACGGTCAAATAGTTAACGCCAATCATTGTGTGCTGTACCGCATGTATTATTTGTTTGTTTGTTTTCAATTTCGCGCAAAGCTACACGAGGGCTATCTGCGCTAGTCATCCCTAATTTAGCAGTGCAAGACTAGAGGGAAGGCAGCTAGTCATCACCACCCACCACCAACTCTTGGGCTACTCTTTTGGCCGTCACATTATAACGCCCCCACGGCTTAAAGGGCGAGCATGTTTGGTATGACGGGAATTCGAACCCGCGACCCTCAGATTGCGAGTCGAGCACCCTAACCACCTGGCCATGCCGGGCCTATGTCTATTAATTAAAGGCGTTTGTAATTCGTCAATACACTGAAAAGAAAGAACATCAAATACCTCTCATAATATACCTAAAGAAGCTTATAAATTTTATTCAGCTTATAAATCGTGATTAACACTTACCTGCTGTACAATTGCGCAATACTATTAATTTTTTAAAATCAGTTGCTAAAAGGTGTTATTTATTTTATATTTTATTTCTTCAATACATACATACATACTTAATAAAGAAACGTTCTTTAATTTATTTAATCAAATATAGCAACGTATTAAACTTATTGTTTAAAAATGTATACAACTGACAAACAAAAACGAAAAAAAAAATATACATATACTGGCCATTCTCCATATCCATTATCTTCGTTACATGTTTTTCGAACTTTATTAAACTGTTTGAAGAAGAAAAAAGAAGCAGTTTTTCAATCAAATCTGCGCTCTCTTCCCCAGATGGTTCAGCTGTAAATTTACAGACTTACAACGCTAAAATCCAGGGTTTGATATCCTGTGTTGGACAAAGTGCAGTTAGCCTATTGTGTTATTTTATGCTTAAACATAACAGTTACATGTGTAAAAACGGTTTAAACTAGGATAGCCTCTCTAAATGTAAGTATTTGGCTACAAGTTTATAACTACCATGTTATACGTAGAATGTTTGTGTAATATCGAATAGTTTGAAATTACTTGGCCTAACAATGCTTGAAATTAAACACTTTATTTCTCGTCATTTACCTTACATTATGTACAATATATATATATATATGTTGGTGTGAGTATGAAATAAAATAAAGTCGTATTAAGAAAATCAGAATGAAAAAGTATTAGCTACTTTGTTTATAATTAGCTTCTGATCAAAGCAAACTACCTACATATATCACAACTGAAACTTAACCCAGTAACGAATTTAATATATCGATCTTACTTATAATAGTTAAAATGCATTAATTCTTCAATTGAGTATCCTTGTTGTTAGTGATAATTTCGTCTGTACTCAATATCTCACAAGGTTCGACCAGATTAGGAGATTTAAGTTAATCCTGAATCCATATACTAAGCT